GCCACTGATTGTCATTTAGTGCCCTTTCACTTTTTCCCTTGATGAGGTTGGGCCCATTTCCAAGGTCAAAAACATAGTGTATGTACCTACAAGAGAAAAATCACCAGTTATACGGGTTTAACAATTATGAAAACAAGTCTGAAATAGCAATACAAACATCTGCTATTTGCAAATTAGTAAAAATATAACAGAAAGATGAATTTTATCCTATAATGAAGGTTCGGCCATGATCAGGATATCAGACTTTTGTTCGTTATTCTTATTGGAACAGAATAAAATCAACCAGCCATTAATAAAAGTTTAACAGGTATCCTCTAAAGTTTACCCTTTAACTAGTTCCACAGCAATGAAATCATTGCCGTCTCCAGAGTTGAAGAGTATGAAGCCATCTGGTGAAGTGGTCTTGAACTGAAAGAAGAGGTGCATGGACGTGTAGGCCTGTAAAGTGGCCAGGCTGAGATAGCTGCTCTTGGATTTGAAGGTGACAGGGTCAGCGATAATGGAGCGAATCCCAAAGCGGGCATTGAGCTCACAGTAATCAATGTCACCATTCTTGCATAAGTCAATGTATAGCATGCCGTTAAATCTGAGAAAAAGAAAAGAACATGTAGGCAAAAATAAGGCAACGTTTTTAAAAATCTACAGAATATTCATCTTAGAAGTGTAAATACCTTAGGCTCTGGAGGTGACCAATAAAGCTGGATGGGATGCTAGAAACAAATCGGCGCTCTGTCATTATGCCTGTTTCGATGTTGTGGAACTCCAGACGAGTGTGGTCACCCACCATTTGGCCTGGAGACGGGGAGGGTGGAGGGGAAGGGTTGAAAGAAAGACAAAAACGAAAAGAAAAGAGAACACTGTCTGACACTAACACAAAAGGGCTGATTTAAGGAGAAAATTACATCACACAGTATTAGATGAATGCAAACTGACACTAATGGGTACATGTGTACTTGCTTTTTTGGAGCAGAATTACACACTGATTTTAGTGTTTATGGCGAGATGCTGTAGCATGGTGGAATAACACTGACAAAGACATACTAAGAATATTTCCAGTTGATGGAGGCAAGTACCTTCTGCTACATCATCGTCAACCGTTAGCTTGTAGGTTTTGCCACGACGCACCACACGCACTGTATGCCATTCATTATCATTGAGCTTTTGCCCAGCATACAGGGTCTCCGGTCCCTTGCCTGAGAACAATGGTCAGTCACAAAGTTAAGGACATCCTGAGAGCCTAAAACCAAACCTTTGCTTCCCACCAGTGACAATAGGAACATTTACAGGTCTTCCACAACCTGGTTAGTAGTTTAAAAATGAGGGAAAATTGGATCGAAATTAGATCTGATGGGAAACAAAGGTTTGATATAGTCATTCATTTATTTACACAGGGTAAATGATATGAGCACAGATGTCAAACATCTGTGCTCATATCATTTACCTGACTGCTGAGCAGTAGAAATAATTGCTTTTACTCATCATAGAGTTAAAGAAATCTTCCTGTCATTCCTTCCATGTTCTGCTCTCCTTTTTTTATCCTCATTTCTTAATCTCCTGCTCCAATAAAAACATGACCAGTGTTATATGTTTGTGTTTAGCAAACATTAGGGCTTTAAATCAGTGGTTCCCAACCCCCGGGCCACGGAGTCGTTTGGTACCGGGCTGCCAGAGTCGAGGCTCAGGTTTTTGGGGTTTTTATCGGTTTTTATCGTTTTCAGTGTTAACTTGGTTTCCCTGGGTCTTCTCCCGTGTGAATAAATTTTCTTTTTTTTTTGGTATAAGTAGTGGTTTTATTTTGTTGTATTTATTTATGTATTTGTTTGTTTGTTTATTTATTTATTTATTTATTTATTTAGTGTCCCGTTTGGATCTTTAGCCATCAGAATTGTTGTATTAAGGCCAAGAAAGATGCCAAGTGGATTTATTTTACCAAGTGGATCATCATGGCCATATTGGTCCATTTGATTGACCTTTATTATAATTATGAATTTATTTTATTTTTGGTTGCTACAAACGGGACAGACATGACTGGGGGATAGGACAGGGGTTTTTGTTGTATTTATATGCAAAACCTTAAAGGCCGGTCCATGAAAATATTGTCGGGCATAAACCGGTCCCTGGCACAAAAACAGGATGGGGACCGCTGCTTTATATTATTGGAAACCATTTTTTCAGCTACACCTGATCTCAGGGCAGGAGGAGAACTATTCTTTCCTTTTAGAAAAGTATGAAACTACTTCAGGTTAGAAAACAGTCATGAGATTTAAAAGAAATTAGCACTGATGTGGAAAACAGGTTGGTCATACAGTTTTATTCGTTTATCTTTAAATTAATTTAAGCATTTTCTTCTTTACATTTACATTATTTACATTAGTGATGCCACACATGGAAATGCAGAGGAAAGTGGGGGTAAGGGTAAATTGATGCACCACCTGTATTTTAGCAATCACAGACAGATTTTATAAAAAGATGTGTTGCATCATAACAATCCAAAACTAAAATGAATATTTTGTATGCATGTGAGACATGGTGGCATTTATGTCACCAGCATATGTCAAAGTCTGTAATTATAGAACTATTTGCAGTATTTTGGCAGGAGGTGCACTGAAATGTAAAAAAGAAAATTAAAGAAAAGTTGAACTTAGTTTGAGTCTTCAGTCTTAATCTTTCACAACCGTAGACGAGAAACGTAATTATATTTTTCCATGGTTGCTGGACCAACCTATCCTTTGCTCAAGCAGCTCCAAGAATTTGGTGGACCTCATATATTTAATTGTTTATTTGAGTGACTGGAAGTGGATAGCTAACATCCCATCAATGTGTTTAATGCATGGAGCTACAACTGTTGGTATCGATCCAATACCAAGTAAATACACAAGTAACACAGAGCCCAACACTGTGAACCTATAAAGACAGATTATGTCGGCAAGTTGGCGAGAAGTTGATGAGATTGATCATCATCAATTTTGAAGAAGCTGTCTGAAACGTAGGAAACAATTTTAAAAGTTTTTCTTATTTATAATTATTCATATCAAAAAGCTAAAAGGATATTCTCAATAATGTGTAATATTCTAAATATTAATATTAGTTTTTAATATGTACATTCTTTGAGTATTTAAATTAAAATCTAAATTGGGTTAAATCATTTTGATTACAACTTGAAGCTGATCGAATCTCCATCACCCCATTATGAGTAAAAGCAATCGTAGTGATTTTGGAAATCACTGTAAAACAGCAACAGACACACTATAAGCTTAATGATTCATCACAGCTAGCCTGAAAAATGCTTAGAAAGTTCCCTAACATGACAAACTGTCCTGTGAACTAGTTTCCTCTGAAAAACACGCTTTCTTCAATAAATAGTCAAATATTACATTTAATTAAAAGACTTTGATTTTTCAGTCTTTTGAATCTGGGTTTATGTTAGGAGTGTAAAGTACAATCAGTACTCAGCTAGTTGTCATTAGCATGCATATTACTTATGGAAACACAAACTGTCTCATTGTACAGAAAAAGTAATGGACTGAAAATGTCCACCTGATGAAACAACATATGAATTTTTCCTTGGATTTATATTTCTCTATTAGTGTGCTTTGAAAAATAAGGAATGATAGCTCCTAGTTCCACATGGGTTTTATCGTAGCATTATTATGGATATTATCAATGTTTTAACAAACACTCAAATTCAAAACGATTCAAAAATTAATTTTTTATGGTTACATCGTTTAGCAAGTTTTAATACTTGGTGTTTATAAATTCCTCACAAAAAATCAAAGGTAGGACTCATGTACTGGGCATGATCGCTTACACAGCTAATTACTTTAGTCCCTTTAGACAAAGTTTAAATCTGAGTCCTTACAGTCGTGCTCCACTGAAGACAGAGGCTTGTATGATTTAGTCAAGTTCATCATTTTGGTGCTAACCAATAATGACAGATTAATAATAATCGTTTAATAATAACTTACCTTGTTCAGTGTCATTTACCTACATCAGTGTTAACTTCAGGCTAATACTGCACTCTTTAGAGAACAATATGTACTAACTTATAGCTAAAGCACAAGCTCTACACCACCAATTTCTACTGGTTTGCTACCACAGAACATAACAGTTACTCATCCTTTTCATACATTTTTACTTATCTTCATCTAATTTTAATTTCCATCTTGTGAGGTAACACCAAAAGGTTGCTCATCTACCGTACCAGTGTCTCCATTACTGAGGCAATATGGTGCCATAGCGCCAAACTGGACGACAAATGTCAGTAGTACTCTGCTAGTATTGGCTCTTAATTATTATTTCCCACTCTGTACCAAAGAATGTGGCAAATATAGTGAAATATACTGTATTTACTGTATATTCATGTATTTTTCTGCTAAGGAAGGTAAGAGTAATTTAATCTCATAAAACCTTCTTTAAATATTGGCTATGTAGAGTATAGATCTGTGATCCTCTGGCATATATAAAATGAGCCAACACGCCCAAAATGAGGAATTATGTCATCACCATTTAATTTCTCTGAGTCTGTTTCTAATGCTTTATGTTGCTCAAACTCACCCTTCAAATAAGAAGATGGTGGATTTTGAAAAATTACATTTCTTTCTTCTTTAAAAAATAAAAAACATCGATATCATTAACAAACAAAACAAAATGAAACTTGAGTGTTAACTTACTGGAGTTACAGTTTATCCTGATACAGTCTAGATGGGGAAGAATAAATGACAGATGAAATTGCATCCTTCAAGGTTACTGCTGCAGACATCCAAAAACAAAAAATCCACCCTTCCGGGGACGTACACATGCAGTAAGGCAGCCATTTCATTCCATTGGTCTATCTTTAGACTGATCTCTAAGTCAAACAATCATGTAATAAATATAACATGTCATTACTCTTTGTTAATCAACAGTGCTGTAATTAATAATTGTTTAAGTGCTATATTTACATAAAAATGGCCACTTGTAATACCAGCTACATGGGTTTTCCCACCCAACACTATTTGACTTTGCATTTAAATCAAAGCCTCCGCACCAGTAAAATTGCCTCAGTTACTTAATAAAAACAAACAATAATTATAAATGGATCTGATATTCAAACAGATTTTTTTTAAATAAACGTTTGTAACTGAGAAAAAGCAAGTTCATTATCTGAACTAAGGCCAGAATAACTGCCGCACACTGCGACAGCGAGGGTTGGTCACCATGTGGCTGGTGGTTTCATGTGTCGTCAACCGCAACAGAAAAGTGGGAGCAAACAGCCGCGATCCAGTCAGCACCAGCACCGTGCAGAAGCACAGGAACCCCAATCATCAAAACTCCTGCTATACTGTTCCTGCATGTCGCTAAGCTCCATCAGAGGGTCAGGCTGCTAACATTAACACTTAGTACAAAACTACATGGATTAATATGGGAGAGAAAATCATATAAAGTACTGACCAATTGGCGCTTCATTTTTGAAATTAAAAAACAAGAGTATGCCTCATAAAATTCATCTAAATGGTATACAACTTACACCGTTAATCAAACAAGACAAACTGTATGTACGATATAGACAAAATGCAGTTTGTAACTCGTGTTTCTTCTTCTTTGTTTTTTGCTTTTTAACATTGGGGTTGCAGCTAGCTGTAGGTTTTGCTGGGCTCTGTTCTCGGGCTGTTCGCCTGACGGGCCGCAGGCTTAAGGCCTTTGAAGGTGTGAATACCATCTTTTGACAAAGCATGATGGGAAATGGAGTTGATGGGAAAACAAGCAAAAGGAAGACGCTGAAAAACCACAAAATTTAATAACAAAAAGAAACGATCATGAGCAACAAAAAAGAAAAAGACACCCAGAACAACAGCAGGGTGACACAGAAATTACCTGATGTCAGACACAAAAATGAAGGTAGTAGAAAGAAAACTTGTTCCTTTTATATCCTGCTGAGTGATGGATCAGTGGTTATTCTTACTACGAATTACATCTGAGAAAATCTCAGCACAGTCTGTTCTTTAAAAAAATAGATAAAATAAAAACAACAAAATGAAACCAGATATAGAACCTGTTTGTGATGTGTATTCTACTTATTTTGCTTTTACTGTCTCAAAGGTTCTATAAACAAAAGTGACGTTTCTGGTTCAAAGGTTTCCAAACATATTTAATAGTGAAATCAAATGTATTTTTAAATGTTTCCAGTAATTGCTGTCTGGTGATTTATGCACACATTAACATGCAAAAGAGAACTGACTGCTGATCTAAAGATGGTTGAAATCTTTGAGGGATCACTGTGATGAGTAACCAATGAAAAGACGAAAACAAAAGAGAATAGAAAAGGAGACGTTACCGCTCGACGGTAAACCATCTCACAGTGAAGGTGGAGGTGTAGTGGCAGATGGCTGGGTGGGGCATACGATACCTAGATTGACCGTGAGTTTGACGCGACTCCCGTCCAACTCCAGCCGCAGCGTGTCGGCTGAGTCTCGGGAGGTAGTGGCCATGAGGAGACCGTAAGCCCGCTGGGAGCGAAACCGCAAAGACACATCCTCAGCTTCAGTATGCATGATGGTCGGCATCACAACCTTCATATACATGCTGCCATCATAGGAGAGGATTGAAGCCTCTGAAAGAGAAAGTCAGGAACAAAAGTAAAACACATGTATGTGTTTTTTTCTCTCACTATTGTTCTCCCACAGAAAGGAATTATGATGCAGGGACTGCAAAGTCCTCGCCATCAAACTGGTCCTACAAGAAAAAGGCACTGGCTGGAAGGAGCATGCCTTTGTAGTACAGACAGATCACAAAACCTTACATATCCCCGGACTGCAAAGTATTACAATGCTCATCAGGCCAGGTGGATATTATCCACCTCTACCAGCTTTAACCTCAACATTAGCTATCGACCAAGGTCCTGTCACATCAAACCTGATGTGCTATCCCAGAAACTCTCCACCTCCTAGTCCTCCACAGAATAAGAAACCACCCTTTCACTGGACTGCATCATTGGTTCCCTGAGTTGGGAGATTGAGTCCCTGGTCTGGGATGCTCAGCTGGATAAGCCTGACACCAGAAACGGGCCACCCAGCTGTCTCCACATCCCTTTAAGGTTTATCCCCAGGTAACACACTGGGCCCATCTGGTAACACTGTCACCTTAACCATCATCGATTGCTTCTCCAAAGCTGTCCATTTTGTTGCTCTCCCCAAGCTTCCTTTAGCTCTAGAAATTGCCTCGCTGCTTACTGACCACATCCTCTGGCTTCATGGAATCCCCTTCGACATTGTTTTGGATTGTGGGCCTCAATTCACCACTCGTGTTTGGAGTGAGTGGTGCACAACTTTGGGAGCACAGGTTAGTCCCTCTCCTGGCTTTAACAGGAATTTGAGCTGCAGAGGGGAACCAGACAGGGATGTCACCTGACTCCTATGCTTTTCACTCTCTATATTGAACCACTGGCCTAAATGATCAGGCAAAGTGACTTGATTACAGGAAAAAGAAATGAACAATCAGATAAATACCATAAGCCTATTTTCAGATGATGTTATGATTTATCTGTCAAACCCAACAAACTCCTTTACTCGGTTGGTCCAAGTATTAGATATATTTAGCGAGTACTCTGGCTGTAAGATAAATATTCAGAAAACCCACATTTTCATGTTCAACCGCTTACCAGATCAGGAACTTTAATATAAAGTAAATTGAGCTAAATAACTTAAATATTTGGGTGTAGCTATAAACGAAAACCAGACAAAACTATATCAAACCAACTATGACTATAATGATGGTAACTTTGACATTGACAGATGGTTTTCCTACCAATTCAGATTAAATGATAGAATAAGGGTGATAAAGATGAATATACTGCCACAATTACTAAACCTATTTTCATCAGTGCAAAAATTAAATTACAAAAATGGGATGAACTCATCTCCAAATTGGTATTCATTCAGCTCTTGTTAACATATTTGAATATACAATTTCCACGATCATTTCAGATCCGATACTTGGGTCATCTTAAAGGAAATGTGCATCCAAAGGACAAATACCTGTTTAAGATTAGTCTGGTAGCGGCAAAGAAAACTAACTAAAAACTAGCTAAGTATGAAACACAGAGCTATAGAGAATAGGTAACTGTGGCTGAGGAGAACCTGGTTATTGACAAATTCACATACAGACTGGAAATAAAATAAAAATACTTTCTAAAGGACTGGATCAAATGGTTGGCATGCAAAGTGAAGAAAAGCCATAAGTAATTAAAATTATATATACATTACTGATGAGCGAGAGAGAGCTGCCTAATGTAGTGGGGGGGATTCAGTATTGACCAGCCGCTTGAAGATTTATACCAGACAGATAGAGACCACCAGTATACACCAGCTGTATTCCACCGAATCGTCCAAGGTGTATTCTCAGTGGCAGGGGACCAATATGAGAACAATCCCACCAAGGCTGGAGACGGAACAATACTGGAAGACCATATGGGACGAATGCAACCCATGACAACCATGCTTGTGGAGCTAAGAGCACACCATAACAACCTCCCTAAACAAGGTCCAGCAACTATCACATTGGTAGACATGTCCAGAGCTGGACTGCACCAGGCCCTGACATGATTCACACCTACTGGCTAAAGAAGCTAATTCCACTCCATGAGCATCTAGCAGCACAAATAAACCAGTTCCTAATGGACGAGACACACCTGAAATGGCTAACCAAAGGCTAACTGAAGGCTAACTGAAGGCTAACCGATGCATCCCCAGAAGGGAGCAGTCCCATTGACCTATCGGCCAGTAACCTGCCTCAGTACCATATGGAAGCTCCTGTCAGGCATCATAGAGGCTAAGACGAACAGGCACATGGTTCAATTCATTCATTCATTCAATACACTAGAGGGGCAAAACACAGCTACTGGCAGATATACTGGTCACTCAAAACTGTGAGACCAGACTGACCAACCTGTGCACCACCTGGATTGACTACAAAAAAGTTCTAGGAATACCAGTAACTTTACAAGAAATGAGGAATTGGATGGGGATGTGTTGACAAGCCAGCTCCAAACCAATAACACAAGTCACCATCAACTGCAGGATGCAAAAGGAGATACTCGGTCCCCACTGCTGTCTTGCACAGGCCTGAACTCCCGCAGTGAGATCATTAACAAGACTGGATATGGATACCAATTATGGAATGGAGCAATAGTTGGCCACCTCCTCTTCATGGATGATATCAAGCTGTAGGCCTCAGTTGTTTATCAAAGTCCAGTGTTGTACGTTATGGTTTGCCTCTACTTATAGATAACAGATATATCCTTTTTACAAAAATCAACTGAAATATCTAACATTTTGTGTACATGCATTCCCTTTGATTGCTTTATTGGTAATATTACTGAATATTTTTAGTAATTTGTCACTGCACAGTCAGATTACATTTAACTTCAGAGTCAAAGTGTTTGAAACAACCAAATAGAAAAACTGTAAAGCTAAAAAAAAAATAATTTAAATTGCCTAGTTTCACACAACTCTAAACCTAATCTAAATGGGCCACCAGTGATATTATTCTTTATTTCTCTACCTAAAGAAAAATCCATTTCATTGAGCTCACTTTACACTCTTGCTTTCTGTAGTCAAACCTCTCTTTCCTAAACCCTCTAGGGCTGATTGCCATTTTCTTGCATTCTCATTGCATCAATCAGATTATGGTGATTATTTGTCCTGTCACAGCAGCTTAATTTGATAAATGATCTGATAATATGCTGAAGCATTTTATGTCCTCTAAATGCCCTTTGTTCAGTTTATCTGCGTGACTGGGAAGCTGTAGTTCTATCACATGGCCACAAGGTGGAGACACAGTCCATCTATCTGTTGGAAAGTCCTGTAGGTAAATTAGGGTGGGTGTGGCTCACTGAGAAACAAATGTGTAAATTAAAATATGGATAATGATTGGATAAAGCTAAGCTGAGGAAAAGTGAAGCTTGAGTAGGTAAAAGGCATGTGCATCCACACTGACGGAGTCTGAATAAATCTGATCATTACTAAGATCTGATAAAATCACTTTCTTTCTCATCTCCAATAGTCTCATGCACCACCTTACTTTTTGCAGATAGGTCAGGGTAACCAAGTGAAATAACAGCTACATTTCCCCCATATGCTTATTTTATTGACATTTTTATGTTTATGTTAGAATGTTGAGTCTCTAAAGCCTAAAACATTTCCTGTGTTGTTCCACATAAAGTTCAAGTTTATTTCTATGGCACCAAATCAGAACAAAAGTTGCCTCGAGGCGCTTTAAAGTGTACAGTAAAGGCCCCAAAATAATACAAAGAAAACAGAGAAAATCCCAACAGTCACATGACCCCCTATGAGCAAGCACAGTGGCAAGAGTGGGAAGAAAAAATATGCATAATAAAGGAGTGATAGACATACTAGAGCAGACCCAGAAGAAGAACTGAAATGGGCTTATCATCCTCTTTTCCTTTTTCTTTTTGACACTGGACTCTAGATGAGTTGCTTTACATTATTCACAGTTTTCAAAATGTCTTGCCGAGCACACCCACAAGTTCATCAATTATGTGAGATGAGTTGTTTTAACTCGTGCCTTCTCTGAAGACAGTTTTCTTCTGATATGCTAGCCCACATTTATACATTTTATTGCCGGACGTATTTGCTCGTCAACCTTCACGTGAACTTGAGTGACATCCGATTCTTAATTCATAGGGTTACATATGAGGTCAACCAACCCTTTGCAGATATAACAGCTTGAACTCTTCTGGGAAGGCTTTCCACGAGGTTTAGGAGTGTGTTTATAGGTCCTTCTTTCAGAAGCACATTTGTAAGGTCAGACAATGATGTTGGATTAATTCCAGCATCATATTTTTTGTTCCTATGTTTTGTCCTATATTCTGAGTTTCTGTGTTCTTTATCCAGTTTTTATTATCTGAGTTCTTATTATGATTTCTTTCTTGGTCCTTGTGTAGTTTCCAGTATTTCCTAGTTTAGTACTTCATGTTTCTAGTTCTTAGACTCTTTTCTTAGGTGGGTCCCTCTTTGGCCTTGTTCTTGTTCTTAGCACTGTTTATATAGTGTCCTTTCAAGCTCCCCTGTATATAGTTCTTTATTTCTCCATGTTTGTGTGTTTTATGAGTTATGTTCAGTTTTGCGTCCTTTCCCTTTTCACGTAATGAAACAGTGTCCACTGGCCTACAAGTAGCTCTTCTGTGTTGTGTTCCCCTGATGTATAAATCATGGCAATCCTCCTGGCACTTAACAGCGTACACTACAATACTCTGTTTATGTCGGGGGAACCAATTTTTGGCGCAGTGTGTTTTGGGGTTTAAAAGCCAAAGAGATGCAGTGTTTATAGAAAATGTGTCTCAACTGTTACTCCTGACACGTACGGGATCACTACAGGTTTTCTCTTAG